ATGGGGCAGGAAGAGCTGTTCCATGGACTGCAACTTGCAGTCTGGAGCATGAGAAAGAAGTAAGTACTGCAGCCATTAACCCAAAGCTGGTTTTTACAGTAGGTTTTCTTCCAAAACAAAGCGTGCAGGGTCTGGTCTAATTCACCTTGAAAATGACAGCAGGAGATGAACGAAATTCAGAATTAGTTCAAAATTAAACAGCACCATCTCCTGGTGAAGGTGGGTTCATGCTTCATTTTCTTCCCCAGTGCATCTCCAAGATATTAATACTTTACAAATATATTCAACAGGAAATAATGTTACAGATGAGATTATTTCCTTTCTTTTCTCAGACAGCCTACAATGTCTTCTTCTCAAACACTATACACTGGTTATATATGTAAAATAATCACACACATAATATAACTTCTAGAATGGTTACTGTCTTTCTTCACTGTAACTTGCTATCAGCACATATCTGAGCTGTGCTGCTTAGAATTTAAAATAAAAACTACCCACAACCTAGTACATACTAATGCTCCTTTTTAAAAAGTATAGGCTTTGTAGGACCCCACTTTCTTTTTAGATTTAAAATACATTTTCTATATTTTAATGTTATTCAGAAATACTCCAAACTTTCACTAAAATAACTGTACTGATGCATTAAAAAAAATCTTAACAATATTTCCTGAGTTATTCAAGAATCATAATCTGCCATTAAAATAGTCACATTACTAATTCACACAATTTTTCTTCTTTCCAGTAGTTACACTGTAGGTTATACCATATATTCCATTACTTGAGACCCTTGGTTTGGCAAATTACTTTACCTGGAAGATTATCATGGAGCCACACGGAGGTAAATATATTTCCTATCTGCCTTGTTCTTTAACAACGTGTCACTCCTGCAGCGTGGATAAAAGCCGCCTTTTTTCCCAGTTCTGAGCTACAGCATTCTTTAGAAAAAAATTACCAAGAAAAGAAAATTGAAGCACTGCTCAAAATTTAAGATGCATAAACAAGTGAATACTAAGCATTATTACTTCAGTGATTTCTTCCAGCAGTGCACTTCAGAGGTGAAGTTTTTTCCCCAACATTACCGAAACAGGTGTGACTTTAACTTTTAAAAACGTACTTGAAAGGAAAGGAATGGACAATTTGCCCTAGAGATGAGACAACATACAAAAGTTAAACTTAATTTTTAAAAAGTATCTCATCACCCTTTATTTTCAGGTGCTTCACAACAATATGACAAAATAAAAGTATTACAATCAGTTTCATGTAAATAAAAAATTAATATCAACAAGTTCCAAATCTCTATATAACAAACACAATCATAAATAAAAAACATGCATTAAATTAAAAATATTTATATATTATAAAAATAATCATGTGACCCAGTTCTTTAAGACACTGGATTTTTCAAAAATATATAACTTATATTAAAATTACAGTGTACATTCTTACTTTTATTATGTTACTGCATTACAAAATAAACTACATTGAACTTTCAGGTCAAGCTTTGTGTTTAAGTGACTTCTATTAATACATTTGAGAAGCATTTCAAAGGGTTTCACTATAAATTAATAAATCCATGTCTTACAATGCAACTTTTCCCGTGTACTTATTGTTAATTGTTTAACAGGTTTGCATACTGGGTTTGAAATCTTAAGGGATCAAGTCAGGCACGTATGTTTCAAATGAGGACTCCCAAGCATGGCATAATGTAGATTTGCTTTTTGAAAGCCATTGCATAGCACCTTTACTCTCAGTTATTAGTACAGAGATGTGGCCACAGTTCCCTGTAGGTACCTGGAACGAGCCACCTGTAGAGTATTTTATGAAATGTGAAGCTTCACACGTCTGAACTGAAGGAGGTGGGCACCTTTTTAGATTTGACAAAGAAACTTCACAAAATGGCAGGTGAGTAATTAAGATTCTCAGTCACCATTCCAGTATTTGTGCAAGAGCAAACCTGATTTGGGCTGCCTTCATTTCAGCAAAAATATTCCAAATTTCTCTGTAATAACCTGCTTTTGGTTTTTTGGGTTTTTTTTGGTACCTCTAGAAATTTCTCTCATCATGTGTCTCACAAGGGTGGACAAGATGATGACTGACGATAACAAAAGTGAGTATTATCAAAGAACTATTATACTATATCATATTCCAGGTTTTACTAAAAAATTCCTTCCCACTATTAATAAATCTGCTCCAGGACAAAGAAATATCAACAGAAAGACGATTATGGTCTTTCTGAAAGCAGAGAACACACCCAGACAGGACACAAAACTTTTCATACTTTTCAGTCCCATTTTCTTTGGCAGCAGATAGTGAAACATTCATCTTTAGCTGTGTCTGCTCCAGTGCCAAAACCCAAGCCTCTAATTTTAGTCTCAGCTTTTCAACTGTGTGGAGATATTAAACAAAAACTACTGACAGAAAACAAACAAACAAAAAAATTACCTTTTCTTGTAGAGAAGAATGAGAAAAAGAAATCTCAGCTGAAAAAGCTAAACTAGGAAGTGACAGCAGTAGGCAAACCCTGTACTGGAATAAACCTGTGCTGGCTCACTCCTCTCGTCCACCAAGAAGAAATGAGACAGCACAGGGATCCTGTTTTATGAGCTCTAGAACTGTATTCCTCATACTGTTCATTCATCAAAATGGGCAGGAGCAAAAATTTCAAGTCATGTCCCAGACTTCTGAATGACAATTTAACTCTGAGGCATAGTTCTAGTACAATTTTGCCCTCAGGAGTAACTTGAGACTAAAATACAGCCCAGGGACAGCTTTGTGTATCATGTTCATTTACAGCATTAACTTTTTGTACAATCAGGGGTTATAATACAAACAACTTGCATGAAACATTTAATTCCTGACTGCCTAACCACCAAGGAGTCCAATATACCTTTCACAGACCAGACACTTTCATTTGTATCACGAGATTTGAGTGGGAATGTCCTTAAAGTATGGAAAGGACCAGACTTCCAGTCACTGCAGGCAGAGGACAGTCTTTGGAAGCCTGCTCTTGCCTGGAAAGGACAGATGTGCTTGTTCCCTAACAGGTCCCAAGGCAGCTTCTCTCCCTGCTCCCAGAAAACTTATTCCTGTGCATAGTTTCCCACTGTGTCCTGAAAAATGCCATCACAGTAAACTCCTACAAATTCTAGGCAAACCTGCATCATCTTACCTTTCTTGTTGACTTGTTGCGGTAGCGTATCACTCAAACCACCTAAGTCAGAATTTACTAGAATCTAGTAGAGCAGGTGGTTTTTCCTTTATATTTTTTATCCAGAATTTGCTCAAAGGGTCAGATAAGGAGACAGATAATACAATCTGCCATCCAGACTTGTACTTGAAAATGGTAATTTCTTCCCCATTTTCACTTCCTGCCTTATGTCTTCATCTGTTTCCCTGGAAATGGTGTATGAAGCCCCACAGCTGTCTAATTTTTCTACTCCTTTCTCTCTGATGGAACATTAAATGTGTCTTGTCCAGGAGCTCTGTGAAGATTGATTTAATATCCTCTGATTGCTGCCTTGAATTCTGACAGTTTCCTGGGCCTTAAGAGATGATTAAAGAAACAAAACACATTAAATCCTAAGTCAGCTGTCCCAAGCAAGTTTAACTAATAGAATTCTTTTTCTTTAAGCTTCCCATTTACTGACTTCACTTTCCATTGGACTCTGTATACCAAAGTCCAACACTTTGCCTGAAATTCGGATTCCAAAATATCAATACTTATCTGTTTCTGAACCATCATAAAAGCCTTACTTATTCTTCTGCACATTCATCATTTGTGCCTTGTGCACATTCCTTATCTCCTCAAAACTTCTACTGCTCCCACTGGGAATACTGTTTGCCTGTACTTCACTAGCCATCTGCCTTAGCATTAGCAGCCTTAGAAGAAGGAATCAGGTTGAGAAATGTCTTCCTGTGGAGAACAGGAGCAAACATCCTTTCCTATCCCAGTGCTGCCAATACATTCACATGAAGCAGCATTTCTCTTCAGGTTTAAGTCTTCCAACCAAACTATCTGTTTGTATAGTTTGTTCTTGCTTCCCCCCTCAACTTTACAACAAAGCACATGTTTTCATTAATTAAAAGGTAACAGAATTCAGCAGATCAAAGGACAAACTACCAGCACAGAGTCCTTTTGCAGTCTGTAGATACAGACAAGATTACCTCTAGGCAGCAGGCTGATTATCTTTGTGTACTGATCATCACTGTGTACTGATAATGAGTTGTTCAAGGAAGACCACCAGATCTATTCAGAGCCTTACAAGAGTGTTTGGAAGAGAATGGAGGATGAACAGAAGTAGAGTGATATACACAATGATAAAAGCAGTGTTTGAAAGTTTCGTCCTAGGAAACTTAATCATTTTCTAATTTCAATCTTAGGGAAAAAGACAGAATTTCACAGAAATCCTACCAACATCAATGGGTATTGCATAGAAACTTCTGGGAAGAAGAAGCTGGCTGCCCGTTACTTCTGCATTTTTAATATTTGTCAGCACTTTAAACCTCAAAACCACTTTCCTCAACATTGCTAATGCATTCTATATAAATTCAAACAACATCAGTTTCATGGATTAAACAATTTGCATACAGTTCTTCAAAGTATCAGAAATAGGTGAAAAGTAATGCATAGTCTATAAAGGATGTTTTTGAGATTAGTTGTGTGTTTTTTCCCCAATTTAAGTGACATTTAAATACACAAGAAGCATGCAGGACAAGAAGTTGTTTCCATTCACCTTTGTGAAAGAGACAAACGACAACAAATGACTTTGCAATGAAAAAAGTGTGACTTGTTTATACAAGCATTAAAGAGAATGCTGTTCACATGATGTAACAACCGACTTTTTAAGGGTACTCGGACCAATAACAAGTTGCACTTCATTCCAGAGCTGAGAGAAAAAAAAAGACCAAGAAGCCTCTGCAAACCCCATCCATCACATTCTTCTTTTAGATCAATGAACGACTGAGTCCAAGTAGAGAGATATGTTTACATTTTCAAATATCCTTTGTGAAGTGACATTTATTAACAAGCTTGGCACAGAGAGACCTCACTGTGAGAAGACACAGACAAATCTCATTTTCTCAGTGTCTGGCTAATGACACTGACAATGAGCGAATTCTCACTGCTTCTAAGGAGTGAGAAATAGAATATTCACTGAACAGAATCATGTAAGTCAGTAATACAAATCGGGATATAAGAAAATACCTGATTAAATTATACCTCACAGAGTATGTATTGTAAGGATTATTCCTTCCCTTCTTCCCGCCCCCTTATCTGTAATACTTTGCAAAGATTTGTAAGCAGGTTTGTCTTAGCTTCTAGTACTGTACATATCCACATCTTCTGGGCTGGACTGACCATGGTCCATAAGTTTTGGATCAGGCTTAAATTTTGGTGTATTCACTGTTCCTGTTAGAGAGATTAAAGAAATTTAATTAAAAAACCACATATATTTGAGCTGTAGGAAAAAAAGCTTATGACACATTTTGAGAATTACTGTATTACCAAACACAAACTATCAAAATACCTCATTAAAACTGTGTAAGTGATACAGGATGATGAGGCGTGTTGTAATTATTAGCCTGCAGCAGGAGAGGGAGAGCAGGTCTTCCCCTTACTCTCTATACTTAATACGACTTCCTGAACACAGCAGGGTAAGAGAAGAAATAGTGATGCTTTTGCCCTACACATGGAAAGGAAGGGAAAGTTTGGGACATGGAAAAAACTCTCCAGTCTTTCTTCCCCCACTGATCCCAGCAGCACAGCTGTCTCCCACAACAAGAGAACTGGTTTCACTTCATGACTTCCAAACCCAATGAACTAAGCTTACTAAAATGTTAAACCCCGACACTCATCCTGAACAATAAGGCACAAAACCTGACGTATTAAATGATACTCTAATGCCAGAGGATCTAAGGGAATATAAAGGCAGGTTTTCTAGTACTGTGCCTCCTCCAACTAGTCTGCTTCTTTTCCAGCTACATCAGTTGGTTTAACAAAGGGTGCTATGTTCTCCTGAAAGCTTTGCCCTGTTTGGACCAGTGAAAATAAACATCTCTGACAACACAGGTTAATTTAAGGCATGGACATTTTTAGCTGTAGTAGGGACATGAACTAATTCCACCCACAAAAGCAAAGACAGAAGATATCTACATACATAAAACCATTAAAGACAGTCTGGCCTGAAGCAAATGTAAAAACAGATCAAAGCATTCGACAAACTAAATTAGAAAAAACAAAAGTGCAAAGCAAAGAAAGATGTGAATGCATATTAATGGTGAAAATAAAGGAAAAAACTAAAAGACCCATTCAAATACGTCAAAATATAACAGTATTTTAAAACAAATTTAGTTCTCCTTTAATAGGTAATTCCAATATTTCTCTTAGCAGTTGGCCTGTAAAATATCTGTATGTTATATATGCTGTTACATGATCTAGTCAATTACCTCAAACACTTCAGAAAACCTCTGCAAAAAACCTAGCAAAACAAAATCCAGTGCTTCATTTGTCAGTTATGCTTTCCTCTTTTACCAGTAGCTGAAGATACAGAACCCACACAGAGAAATGAACAGTAATTCAAACTAGCTCTTGTCACAAAAATCCTGCAGTAATCCTTTAAATTACACTTATGGTATTCTGACAACAGAAGGATAATTTAAAGTAGGTATTTATATTAACAGAAGTAGTTCATGGTATCATCTCATTGCTAACAATATGGGATATGGCCCACACCATATGGAATGGAAGAAAACATTATTGAGAAAGAACAACAAATTTATAAGAATTCTGATAGTGTGATAGGGTTCACAGTGAGAAAATTATCACCTCCCTGAGGCTCTGAAGTATATATTAAATGACAGCTTGTACCATATATTCTCAGGAATAATATGCTAGGATGGCCCACTCCATTTTAAAGCAAGGGTAACTACAAAATTAAGTCAAGTTATTCAGAATTGCCTTAGATTTGCAAGTTGCCCTGAGATTACACTTGAAACTTTTCATTCACCTGATGAAGGCACTGGATCTTTATCACTCCAAGACTCTACTGGAGAAGATTCTGTTCTGTTAAACGATCTTGATTCAATAGCAGACTCAGATTTTGTATTAGAAATTTCCTTCTTTTTCTTATCTTCTTGTGTAACTGATTTTGACTCTTGCTGCAGCTGTTGAACCAAACAGTAATAAAAAAAAAATGCACTTAGGTAGACATTTTAATACATCATTGCAAAATAAAGCTTTCAAGTCTGGGAGCTTATCTTTTTCAGATATGACATCACACAATGATGATTCAACTAGTAACGTTAAAATCAGCTGCATGCAAGGGACACAGCTGGAAATATAAAATACATGACAGAACCCCACAGTTCAGCTACAATAACTTCCAATTCACATGTAAGGAAGTTTACTTTGTCACGAGTGTGTACTTAACTCTGATACTGTGCTTTTACCTGAGACCCTCAAAGTACTTCACAAGGAAGTCACTGGTCATTTACAGATGAGGAACCTACATTCTTACACAAGGTTGAAACAGCATTTAGTTTTTAGAGAACATCTATGTATTGGGTTTGAGTGGCCAGGTTTTGGTAGCAGGAGGGCTGCAGGGCTTCTGTGAGAAGCTGCTAGAAGCTTCCGCCGTGTCCAATAGAGCCAATGCCAGTCGGCTCCAAGACAGACCCACTGCTGGCCAAGGCCAAGCCCATCAGCGATGGTGGCAGCACCTCTGGGATAACATATTTAAGAAGGGGAAAAAACTGCTGCGTGACAGCAGCTGGGAGAGAGGAGTGAGAATGTAAGAGCAACAACTCTGCAGATCCCGAGGTCAGTGAAGAAGGAGGGGGAGGAGGTGCTCCAGGCGCTGGCGCAGAGATTCCCCTGCAGCCTGTGGTGAAGACCATGGTGAGGCAGGCTGTAAGAGATTCCTCTGCAGCCTGTGGAGGTCCATGGTGGAGCAGATGTCCCCCTGCAGCCCATGGAGGTCCATGGTGGAGCAGATGTCACCCTGCAGCCCGTGGAGGACCCCCACACCAGAATGGGTGGATGCCCGAAGGAGGCTGTGACCCCATGGAGAACCCTCACTGTAGCAGGCTCCTGGCAGGACCTGTGGCCCCGTGAAGAGAGGAGCCCACACCAGAGCAGTTTTTCTGGCAGGACTTGTGACCCCATAGGGGACTGGTAATAAATTGAGTTAATTTTCCCAAGTTGAGACTGTTTTGCCTGTGATGGTAACTAGCAAGTGATCTCCCTGTCCTTTATCTCGACCCACGAGCCTCTTGTCATATTTTTCTTCCCCACTCCTGAGGAGGGGGAGGGACAGAGTGGCTTTGGTGGGCACCTGGTGTCCAGCCAGGGTCATTCCACCACAACTTACTACCCTTAGTTAACAGAAGATGGAAAGATAAAGCACGGTAACACCCTGGTAATGAAAAATAATATATTGTTTTGGGAAAAGGATTTACTCAGGGAAAAAAAAAATGAAGTTAACGGAAACTCTCCTCACCACATCAGTTCTTGTTTCGCTATCATTTTCATTATATTTATCTGAATCTCATTTTCAAAATTCAGAATTCCATTTGCACTCCTCAGTGAGAACAAAAGCTGAGGACTGCATACAAATGACGACCATAAAATTAAAGCAAAATACTTCTACATGTTAATATAACAGAGAAACTTTCGTTTTCTTTAAAAAAGATTAAAAATCACTGTGGAAAGGTGAAATTTTACTCAGAGACGTACTACTTTTGTCAGGGTTTTTAAATTTCCTCTGGGAAAAAAACATTTCAGGTTGCAGAAACAGCGTGTTTAATTCTGGGATGTACTAAGCCAAATTCCATAGGTAATTCACAGGAAGTTCACAATCCCCTCTACTGGCAAGGCCTGGTTTATTATGCCCTATTTTGACCACCTCACTTAAAAAAACCACAACACAAACCATACACAAAACTCCCTAAAAACAGAAAAAGGAGAGAGAGAAAACAGAGAAAGCTCAGAGAAGAACAAGGATAACGTAAGAGAAAGTCTGATCTATAAGAAAAGGTCATACTAGGGCCAAGATAACATCAAAAACCAGGACAAATTTCCATTGACCATATGCAATAGGTCCATATAAAGAGGTTACTGACCATTTATTCACTATGGCTGCCACGAGGACAGGACAAGAAAAACAGGTATTACAAATATGACATTAAACACTGAAGTTACAAAAATATCAGAGGGGTTCTTGTGCCTCACTTAACGCAATTATTAATCTTAAATAGCATCAGCAGAATAGTCCTTGACCTTCCAATTGACTTTTTTCTCCCTCTGAATTTGTGAGTTACCAAGCCTACCTTGGTGTCGTCTTCCCTTTTTGCCCATAGTGATCGCACAGCCTCATAGGTGTGACTGCTTGCAGCAAATAACTTCTTCCCTGTTACCTATTTT